CACCGCAGCATCCCTTCCCCAATCTACAGCTTCCAAAAGCAGCGAATTCGTTGCGAAATCATGTAAATCTCGAAGGAACGCTTAGCCAAAGTACGCCTCTGCACATGATGAGGTTACATCCGTGGTCGTGTCCCCCAAGTAAACGCAAGCGGCGGCGACTTTTACATCTTCTTCCCCCCAGTGACTGCAACGATCCAAACGGACTGGCGGCGACTAGGGCCGTTGGGAGTACACATTGCTGTGCCGTACTTGTCGGAAGCAACTGGCAGGTCACTTCCCGCACGCTGAAGGGCGTGGGCATTCCCGCACCAGTTTTCCGAGGATAAAGGTACCCCCCACCTCTAATCCCCTAACAGCACCTTTACACCCGGGATCTCCGGTTTCGGTTGCCTCGCTGCGGGGCATGCCCGACACTCTCCCGGCGCCTGTCCCTAGACGCTTTTCATGCTGCCAGCTGGAGCTGGATGCTTTCGAAACGACTCATGGTCTGCTTGAGTGTGAGACCGATCAAGAACCCGCCTCCACTACACGCCCGTAGCAACGCCGCATCCTCGGAACGGTCTTCGCACGCAGAAGACTCTCGAAGTGAGCACGACTCTCATCTCTTCTTGCTCTTGCGTGCTGCTCTTCTGGCGCTTCCGGGGTTCGGGCGCCGCCAAGTCGAAGAGATCATGAAAGGGAACCCACTGGGTGCCTGCGTAAGCCTGATAACGGGCCAAACCGTGAACACAAGGACGGCTGCATGTGACATGGGTTCTCCTTGACAGAAATCTGGCTATCAGGGTTTGATTTTGGGTGACGGCCTGTGGGTGTGGAAACTTGAAGAAGCCCGGCATCACCAGGATGCGGCCTGGATCGCCATGTTTTTTCACACCCGACGCTGGAATCGCCTACAACGGCTGCTGAGTTCATCCTCGCATGGAACCCAAGGCCTCAAACACAAACAGGTTTTGCATAGCCCGGTCTTCCCCCCGAGTTCCTGCATGTTTGATGACAAGGGGGTCCAGCAGACTGCTGCTGCAGCATGCTGCGCTGTGAGCCTTGTCATGGGTTTCCTGCAAGCCAAGAGTAGCTTCTGGCAGCTTAAGACGCGCAGATTTGCCAGCGAGTGCTTTACATTGCAGTTCTTCCGAACTGACGGACAGACACGTGTAGTCGAATGGAATAAAGTGCTCTGCAACGAGAGTTGAGTTCATTGACTGATAGACTGGTTTACATAGGCCACTGTAGGAGCAAGACAAGCTCGCCCCAAACCTCAAACTACAAACTCTGAACCCCAAAAAGCACATGCCCCGAAGCCTTGCGATGAGCCTTGACTCCTGCAACCCCCAACCTAAACATCCAAAATTCAAAAACACCCTCAAAGCCTAGAACCCGTTAAACACCTTTTAACCACCACCCCCCCAAATCCCCAGTGGCCCAGCTTCTTCCCCGACGGGCCGCCGGGCCCAGGGCCGAGGCCATGTCCAGGGCCGTCTCATAGGAGATGCGCTGGTTGTTCAGCCTTCGGAGATGAGAAAAGCTCCCCATTTATTCTGGAGTCTACAGTGGAGTCTGCAGCGTTCATGATTTGGGGCTGTACACGAGGGCTCCGGGCCGACAGAGCCGATACAGAGTAAGGTTCAGAAGGAGGTTCAGTGGGGGTTTAGGGTTTAGGATTTAGGGTTTAGGGCTTCAGTGGGGCATTTGGAGCAACTCTTGGGTGTGGAGTATGGGGGGTTGAGAAGCTCTCGTCTGGCAGAACGCGAAGACCCGTCCAAAAAAGGGCCCCTTTGAGAACCTCGTGGCAGCGTAGCAATTCCTTTAATGGGGTAAAATCCAGGCAATTGACTCACAGAAGAAGCATAAAGCGACGCAACGGCGCAGTGGCAGCTCAGCATCGCACATGCCCATGCGTGGGTCCTTGGCAAGGGCGGTAACGGAGGCACAAGTCCGAACAGCTCAGGGTTGCTTGGTCTCGGGTTCGCTCCCCTGAAGGAACAATGCCGACTTTGCGTTTGACACAGAGCCCTTGTCTTAGGCACCTGGCATTCAGCAAGAAGCGGCCGCGCCTGCAATGTTTATGCAGATTGGTTGCAAGACGAAAACAAGCTTATGGCCGCGAAGTCGCGCCACCTGCAGGTCTCGGGCGTAAGCTCAAAGTCTTGCGAAGTGGCATAGGAGGACAGGACCTGAAGCTGCCAAGCAAAAGGACAAGAATCTCCCTGGCCCGTTCATGAAACAAGAATATCCCTCCAGATGCTCAAGCGTCTGATATTTGCCTCTGTGCCGCCCCTAAGATTTCCCACATGCAGGGGCCCAGGCCGGCAGCCTCCGCTGTAAAAAGGATGGCAAGTCCTCAGGGCTCCCATCAGGTTCTCGGGAAAGGCATGCCAGATTGGATGCAAAGCTAGGACCAGCTAGGAGTGCCAAGTTGGTGGCATCTTCATGAACAAGCTCGATGTGGTAGGGCGCTCTTGACCTCAGCGTCATGCCGTTGGGCTCTGAATCGGCAGACTGAAACAACAAAGAACGGAGCAAAACTGAACCGCTTTGCACTGAGATGAAAGAAAACACCGACAACACAGCCCACATAGAAACAAGAAGAGCAACGGCAAACACAAGTTCATGCAGACGAATGATGTTCACGCTGGATAACCGATTGCCGAGTAGGGATGTGGCTTTTTGTTGTGACATAAACGCAGACAGAGAAATTCAGAAAGAGACAAAGAGTGGGCGAGAGCGAGAGCAAGAGCGAGAGGGCGAAGGCGAGAGCAGCACTGCTTAGGAAAGGCTGGTGAATGAAAATCGAGCTTACCAGGATCATGTCATACTGCAACTTCGTAACTCGTAACTCTGCGTGCGCACAACTTGGAGGCCAGTTTCAAAGTTTCACTGAGGTTTCTTGCGTGGCTTGAGCGAATCAGGTGCTCACTCATCTGGTCAAGCATGCCTGACCGGGCACCACGCGCATTTCGAAAGGCGATGCCGCGATTTCCGGTCAAGATCTCATCCTCAGCTGATATCAGTAGATCCAGACCTCGACATGTTTCCAACACCATCCAACACCTGCAAGCCCTTGAAACAGAACAAGTCTCAACTCAGGCAAGCATGAGCACCGTGAAATGCCCCCAAACTGAGAGACTTGGTGTGGCCAGGCCCCTGGCTCCAGCCAAAATCACTTCTGCACCAACCGACACGCCTTCCACCTCCTCTGTGGGTTCAGTTTGCCCCAACTTCCGCAAGTTTAGGGTTCAGGGTTTAGGGTTCTACAAGGGTTTAGAGTTTAGAGTTTAGGGTTTGGGTTTTACGGCCAGCACATGAGTTTTGAATGCAGGCCTCTGCCGTTCGCCAAGTGGGCGGCGCGGGGCCTGTGCCCGGGCCAATTGTGCTGTACGACCGGTGAGCCACACACATTCTGCCACATCACCAAATATCACTATGTAGAAGAGCATGGTACGATAATGCTGTAACAGTGTTTGGATTCGTGGTTCCACGTCTTGAATGTCTTGGACCCTGTGCTGGATGACTTGGCTTGCTTGCAGACACAGCATTTGCGAGTATGGCAGCTACCAAAATTGCTTCTCATCACATGAGGCGTCTTTCTGTCATGGCTTCCGGAACTTTCAATGCAGCAATATTGTCATACTGTGCACAGTGGGCAGCAGGAGAGCCTGTGGCGCCAGCTATGGCAGCAGCCGCCACAAACGAAAGTTGCACGCGCCACCATGGCCTGCAGGGCCTGCAACGAGTCAACTCGTGACCCAAACGTACCCCAACAATCCCACCACGCCCAGTATCTTGACAGTACCTTGACAGTATCTTGACAGTATCTCGACAGTATCTTGAGTGACGTGACAGCGACTTGACAGTGCGGGATTGTCGGCGTGCTCAAAGGGAGGGTTGCAAGAACGGGCCCCCGATGAACCAAAAGGAGTTGAACCTCGAGTTGAAGTTCTGGGCTTCGGGGGGAATGTTTCCATTAAGGCCTGCTCATCAGCGCTCTCCATCCCACTGTCTCGTGCGTCCCTGTGAGCTTGTTCTGCTGCTTTGGGATGCTTTGAATGCTTTCGTATGCACCGGAGGTCGGGTGGTGGAGGGGTGAATGAAAGTGCCAGCTCATTGGTCCATGTCGCGAGTCATGGCACACTAGGACTGACCTTGGGATGCGAAGTAGCCGTGTCCCTGTTGTCTCTATAGCTCTACGAAGCTTTCCATGGGGGCTGTGTCATCAAGATGGGCCATCGCAAGCATCACAAAAGCATCCTCAGGCTGGCTTTCTGCAGCAAGGCCTGCTGCGTCAACAAGCTTCAGAGCTTTGACATCGGAAGTATCTAAGAAGTTCTGGGAAAAGCAGCCCTTCACAACCAGAACTGAATCAACCCTTCAATGTAGCCGCCCGAAGCACGATGAGCTTTGTGACGTTGTGCTTTCGAGGAGAGCGCCCTGGTTGTGGCATCACAAAGCTTCGGTGGCTGAAGCCAGTAAGCATGTTGGCTTTTGTTGGAGTTCCGGTGTTGGATGTGTTGGAAGCCTTGGAAGCCGTGTCCTCTACACTTCGGAGAGGGCAACCTCACTAATCGCTACCGGGCCCTTGCGCGGCAAATTATGGGCCACAACTAAGGCGGACCATTGCCAGCGCAGCCTGCCATAAACAACTTCTACTTTTGATTTGAATGACCTACGATCAAGTCGTGGGCAGGCGCCGCTGGCATTACGATTCATCAATGCTAAATAAAATTCCGCGGCGATCCGTGGCGGTGACATGATACCATCGTTCTGCTCCACCTCCCCAATATTGTCCCTACGCAGACCTACAAAAGTGCATTATCAACTCGCCCAACTCTGGTGTGCAAAAGCAAATGTGACCAATGTGGGCTACAACACACCGACCATGGTGGAGATTTACCTCAATGACAACAAGAACCATAAGCGCATACGTGCTTCATGTTGCTCGTCCACGCTTACGGCAGATGGCAACATGAGCGTGCGTTCAGGTCGAATTCTGTACAGAACATGGCTCATGATGCCCGCTGCGATCGCTTGGAGGGAAGTACACGGCCTTGGTGCAAGGAGTCAGGTCGAGGCTTTGGGCACGCCTCCACTCCAAGGGACAAGTTGGGTGAGAGGCGACAGAAGCACTGTGATTCCCATGCTGCATCTCAGCCATACCACATTGTACCACATTCTTGCCCAGCAGCGTCTCCGGCTTACCTTGTAGAGGCGTCCCTGGCATGGAAACATGTCTGCAATGGGGTATGGGCCGGTATGGGGGCCCCAGATGCACCCCAACTGTCAACCTCACGCACCAATTGTCGGCCGAGTTTCGAGGAGGCCCTTCTCCAGCTCCTGACAGAGCATCTCACTTCGCAGATGCCTTTCCCGGCTTCACGTGACGCGTGACTTCTCCGGCCTCCGCAGCTACACCGCCCACGTCGACCGGGCCGCCTACTTTCCGCGCTCCTCCCAGCGGGAGCCCAAACCACTGTTCATCTGGGCTAGATGGACTCTTCGCTGCATAAATGTGAAGCGCTGCACCTGGGCCTAGGGCCTAGGCCTGAGGATTTGGGAAGACATTTTCAGCCCTTGACAGGCGACGAGGCCGCCTTCGCTGCAGCAGCAGAGAGAATAGGTTGAGTACGGTATCTCTTTGAGCTTCTCCGTGCAATCCCGGGCCATTTTGATCGAGCAGGCGCAGGCGGGCATCACCCAGCCTCGCTGCGGGAACGGACATGGTTTTTGAAGCCCTTACAGTGAGTCTTACACATACATTACTCGCAAAGGACTCTTTCGAGCCGCATGAAATGGCAGGAACCTGTTTCGGCCAAGAAGCTACATGGGAATCTCTTCTGTCTTGAAAGGAACGAACAAAATCAGCAACCGGTTGTGCACCTCTTTTTTCCCTAACCTCCAATCCTGATGGTTTTAGGTGCGAGTACGTAATCCCTCGTCTCACTTGTTCCCAGCTAGTCCGTTCTCAGCTTCCAGCAAATGAACAAATCTGCTGCAGCAAACGCTGACAGTTCCGAAAGCAAAAAGCCCCCCTTCTCCCATACAAACGTGAGCGTTCACCAGCTGTTCTTATCAGCCTGCGGAAGATCATGCGCCTGAACCCCAAGTCACAACATTCCAACCTTCCAAAAAATCGTGGGCTACCTGACCCTCCCTGCTCCCCAGCCTGGCGCTGCAGGGCCGTCTGACTTAGGAGCTGCCTGGACCAGGTCAACTAAGAACATGATGGACCCTTTGCCCTTATGTGCGGAGCACAAGAGATTTCGCAGGAGGCAGACACATTGATCGGGCTTCATCTTTCTAGGTCTGTAGAAACTTGCATTGCAGGTGGCTCAGGACCTTGCCTCGAATTCAGCCCCCATCATTGCATATGGTTACATGTTAGATACCTTCAAACCATGCGCAGCCACCGCAGCCTCAGGCATTTTCCCCGTCGTCGCCTCGGGTGAAGAGGGAAGCTCGTAGCTCAAAACGCACCTGGGACCTCTCCGAACAGTCTCGACCTTGGAGCTTGTAGCTGTCTAGACAGGAGTCAGAGCCTGAGCACGCCCGGAACACTAAGAAAGGAGTCTCACCTCTGGAACCGCCTGAGCCCGCGTATAGAAAGCGCCAAGGAGCTTGGCCCATCTGAGCTTGGCCCCTCTGAGCTTGGCCCATCTGTGCTGTCTCGCGGGCCTCACGGAGCTTATTTGAAACCTTCCGGGACGCTCCTCCTTCCAGGGCTCTGATGCCTGAGCTTTGGATTCCGGGCATTTGTAGCGGCATACTTCTGCCGGAGCCTTCTGAATCTAAGTCCTATAGGCTCAATCTCAACAGGTTTTCATTCATCACTTAACCTGTGTGAGATGAGTGGAAATGTGTGGCCGTCCCTTGGCTTGCAAAGCCATGTTGTTTGGCATGATATGCCTGAATCATGCCTTACTAGTTCCGCACGCTACACTGCAAGAATCAAATATGTCCCTAGCAGCCCTGGCAGGATGCTTCGGACTTCTGACGCCTTCACACCCTGCGCAGCCGCCGCAACCTCAGGCATCTTCTCCATCGTCGCCTCGGGGGAAGGGGGGAAGCTTGTAGCTCAAAACTGAGCACACCCGAAACAGTAAGAAACGAGTCTCCCCTCTGGAACCGCCTGGGCCGCCTGAGCGCCGCGTATAGAAACTGCCAAGGAGCTTTGCCCATCTGCATCTGTGCTGCCTCGCCGGCCTCACGGAGCTTGTTTGAAACATTCCGGGACGCTCCTACTTCGAGGAGCTTTGGATTCCGGGCAAGTGGTAGCGGCATACTTCTGACAGAGCCTTCTGAATCTAAGGCTGAGGCTCGGTTTCAAAAGGTTCGTTTTCATTCATGACGTCACCTATGTGAGATGAGTGGAAATGTGTGGCCGTCCCTTGGCTTGCAAAGCCATGTTGTTGGGCATGATATTCCTGAATCATGCCCTGCTAGTGCCGCACATTACACTGTAAGAATGTAAGAATCAAACATATCCCTAGCAGCCCTGGCAGGAGGATGCTTCGGACTTCTGACGCCTTCACACCCTGCGCAGCCGCTGCAGCCTCAGGCATTTGCTCCATTGTCGCCTCGGGGGAAGGGGGGAAGCTTGTAGCTCAAAACTGAGCACACCCGAAACAGTAAGAAACGAGTCTCCCCTCTGGAACCGCCTGGGCCGCCTGAGCGCCGCGTATAGAAACTGCCAAGGAGCTTTGCCCATCTGCATCTGTGCTGCCTCGCCGGCCTCACGGAGCTTGTTTGAAACATTCCGGGACGCTCCTACTTCGAGGGCTCTGATGCCTGACTTCGAGTAGCCGTCTATCACTTCTGGGATAGGTACATATTTTAACGGGGGCATCGGGAGATGCATAGACCCCTACCCCTATCCCGTCTGCCCTCAGGGGCATAGACCCCTATCTACAGGGGTCTATCCGAAACCGATCAGTACCTAATACAGGCACTCCCATATATAGGTAGGATAGCGGCCTATGCATGGGGGGGGGGGGGGGGGCCTGGCACAGACCCCTATGCGGGCGATGGACCTTTCAGATAGGTCCCTGCGCCCAAAAAACTCCTAAGCCACAAGAAAACCCTAGAAACCCAAGCCCTAAACGCTAAAAAGCCCTGAGCCCTAAACCAAAATTAACTAAACCCGAAAAAAACCTAACTCTAAACCCAAAAAAAACGTAAAACCTAAAAAAACCCAAGCCCAAAAACTAAAACTCCTAAGCACCAAACCCGGAAAACCCCAAACCCTGAACCCTATAAACCCCTAAACCCTAAACCCTAAAAACCCCTACACCCTAAAAACCAATAAACTCTAAACCCACAAAACCTAAACCCGAAAAACCCCAAGCCCTAACCCAAAACAACTTAAACCCTAAAAACCCCTAAGCCCCAGACCCTACAAACCCCTAAACCCTAAACATTAGGACACCCTAAACCCTAAACCATATATGTATACATATATATATATACATATACATATATATATATATACATATGCATATATCATAAGCCCGAACCCCAAAAACCCTTAAACCCTAAACCCCAAACCCCAAACCCTAAACTCCCGCAACCCTAAACCATTAAAAAAAGTCCTAAACCCTACAAAACCCCTAGACCCCCAAAAAAACTAAACAAACCCTTAAAACCCCTTAACCCTAAACCTAAAAAAACCCAAAACCCTAAACCTTGAAAAACCTAAAGCCTAAACCCCTAATACCCCTAATACCCCTAAATCCTAAACCCTGGAAACCCCTACATCCTGAACCATTTAAAACCGCCTAGACCCTAAACCCCAAAAAACCATGGAAAAAAATAGACTCTCTAACCCCAAAAACCCCACAGCCCTAAACGCTAAAAAGTACCCAGACTAGTCCCCCGCAGTGCGTCCGAGAGGTCAGCTAAGCGAGTGGCAAAAAAACACGTTAAAAAAAAAAAAACTCTAAACCCTAGACCCAAAAAAGCCTAAACCCAAAACCCTAAAAACCCCTAAACCCTAAAAATGCCTAAACACTATACCGAAAAAAAACGAAACTCTACGCCCAAAAAAACCCTAAACCCACCCTAAAACCCCTAAACCAAACCCTAAAGACCCCCTAAACCCTAAACCCTAGAAAAACCCTAAACTCTAAACCTAAAAGCCCCGAAGCCCTAATTAAACTAATCAACTTAAAACCCTAAAAACACTAAACCCTAAACTAAACCTCTAACCCTAAACCCTAAAGACCCCTAAACCCGAAACCCTAAAAACCGTAAACCCTAAACTCAAAAAAACCCTAAACCCTAAACCCCTAAAACCCATTAAACGCTAAAACCCCCCTATACCCTAAACCCCCTAACCCAAAACCCTACAAACCCTTAACCCTAGACCCTAACAAAACCCAATCCCTAAACACCCACAAGCAAAAACCCTAAACTCTAAAAGCCCCTAATCTCTAAACTCAACCGTAAACCCTAAACAACCCTAGGCCCCAAACCCTAAAACCCCTAAACCCTAAATTTCTAAACGCTGAAAGCCCCTAAACTCTAAACACCCTAAACCCTGAAATCCCTAAACCAAAACCCATCGGTAGAAAAAAAGATCTCGGAGCTATGTGTTTCAGGCTTGTGTTTCTTAAGAATCTAGATCGATGCGGCATAGGGGTCTATGGTTCCATGGATGATTGATAAGGCATGGGGGTCTGATAGGGTCTATAATGATGGCAATACGAGCCTATGGAAAATGCATAGGGGTCTGTGCGGCATAGGGGGGTAGTATAGGTAGGGATAGGGTCTATGCATAGGGGTCTATGACGGAGGACCCCTATGCATAGGGGTCTATGGGAAAATCGACAGGGCCTATGCACAGGGGTCTGGCATGCAGACAGTACGTTGACAGCATAGGTACCTATCTAAAAAACTATCGGGTCTATATACGGGTCTCTTGACGCCTATCATAGACGGCTACTTGCCAGACCTATCTTCCCCGAGCTTTGGATTCCGGGCAAGTGGTAGCGGCATATTTCCTGCAAAGCCTTCTGAATCTAAGGCCTAGGCCTAGGCTCCATCTCAAAAGGTTTTTTTCATGCATCACTTAACCTATGTGAGATGAGTGGAAATGTATGGCCGTCCCTTGGCTTGCCCAGCCAACTCCTGAACCCCTCGCACAACGCAACCTGAACTCCTCAACCAGTCCTCAACCGTGATGCCACCCCCTTTGGGGTTTCTAAGGGGTTATTTAGGGGCGGTATATATGTACTATGCGTTATATGGGGGAATAAGATTAAAGCCGAACACGCTCAAGGCCCCGGCCCCAGGGGCAGCGGACTGCTCCATCGGGTCTTGGCGAGCTCCCTCCGCTTCCTCCATGTCCTCCTGGAGAGCCTCCAGCTCCAGCTGAGCCAGCCTTTCCTTCTCCTTCCGGAAAAGGTGAAGTCAGAAAAAAGACAGTGTGTTGCCGACTCGCCGACGTGGCAGTACGACTGAAGCTGATTTACCCTGCAGGCAGGGTTGGGGAGGAAGGGTAGGGGGATGGCGGGAGACTTCTCTTGTGCAAGTGCCGAAATGACTTCAACAAGGAGCGGCTGGCATCTTGACTTGGTTTGGGCCCTGGAAAGCACTGCCGTGCAAAGACGTTTCCGCAAGTGGGGCGGTTCTCTTGCGCAGCAGAAAAGCTCGGTGATCTAAACCATGCCTCTCGCTTCTTCTGGCGGCGACGCTCGCGGCGCTCCTCCTTTTGGGCAGCAGGCTTTACTCTCTGAGATTCTTCCTCATGATGTCTCGCCACTTTGGGGGACCACATGCCTCCAGTATCTACCTCATTCGAAGACACGGTGCATGAGATTGATTCGCCATCAGATCGAATGTTGGTAGGTGCATGTTGTTGCGGCAAGGCGCCATCCAAGTCATTCATGGCAGCGAGGCATAAAGACTAACTTTACATGACGGATTACTTGTCTCCCTCTGGAGGCGAATGGGGTGCCTTGAGTTGTTCCGCAGTCCTGTCCGAAGCCCGGAGAAGAGATACCTCAGGAAGGCTGCGGCAGGCTGAAGCATGGACAGCATTGACTGCTGTTTGGCAGAGAGGTGCATGTTCGCTCAAATACGTCCTAAGGAGGATGCAGAGAGAGATTAACAGCGGGAACCCCAGGGCTGCTCTTTCTGAACATGTCACCAACCTCAACATTGCAAACATTTGTGAACCCTGCTTCAGGTGTTGACATCCTGTTTGTCTCATCCTTGTCTGGAAAGGGAACTTCTTCTGGCCGTTGTTTGCCCACTATATCCTTTTCAAAGTCGACACTCAAAGCATGCCAAGCATGTCAAGTGTAGATCTGACTGAGCGCATATCCCTGTTCAACCTGAAATAAACGGGACAGGATTATGTCTTACGGCCGATAAGGTGATGCCATAACAAGGAGCTGCACTACACTTCTGAGCTGAGGTGCACGTGGTGCAGCTTCCTCTCGCAAGAAAGGCACACGCTCAAGGAGAGTCGAGACTGCGTGAACGCGCAATGGAAAGGCACCAATTCCATGAGATCATGGTACTGCCACGGACTGCGGCTAACGGAGACTCTGGCCTCAGCTCTTGCGATCATCTGAAGCTGCCTCTTGAATGCATGGGTTTCGAGGTCCAAGCCGGGGAGGCTCTCCTGTCAGGTTGTGCTTCGTTAAACCAAAAGGACACAGCGTGGCGTAGGAGCAGATGGGTTTAGAATGCCCCAGCAAGTGCTCAAAGCTACAGCCTGCAATTACGACGTACGGCACATGAGTGTGCTGCACAACAAACCAAGCAAAGAACACCGGATGCTACCGGTACTAGTGTAGCAGTTGCAGCAACAAGATGGTGTTGATGCGCGGGCAAGGGTTCATGGCGTGCACTGCGTGACTCGGCCCTGGGCCAGCAACTTCCGACATGCTTCAGTGCAATCTAAACCATATTAAGGCAGCACGCCGAGAAAATCCATTGTTTGCCGCTTGCTAGGGCCTGCTATCATGACGAGATGCACGAGCACCGGGCTATAGAACACGCAGAAACAGGGTCGCCATTCCACTGGACGAGACGGGACCAGAGACATCTATGCGGTAACCCTCGCAACCCTGACCGGCTCTGCGTGTCCTTGTCGGTTTCATCAGAATCGTCGTCCTCTGACTCTGCACCGTTGGACTCTGCATCGAAAGGATCCTGCACGCAAAGAGCATGCAGCACAAAACCATGAGAGACGAGCACGGTTAATCTTGGGATGTGATATTGAGGTGAAAATGGGGAGTACGAGTATCCCGATTAAGGACTGCTAGTGTAAGGGGGAGCATCCCAAGGTTAATCAATTAGGCAGAGCAAAACCGAGTTGTCGATGGAATCTCCACCTCCATGGTCAGTGCTAAGCATTGCGAAGCATGGTTCCAACGACTGCGCTCGTGCCACATTAACATGCTCTTTAGGGTTTAGGGTTTAGGGTTCAGGGTTTAGGGTATAGGGCTCTCTACGACTTCTACGACACCCAATCCATCAAGCGTTCTTCTGAAGGCACAGTCTAGAGAAGAAAAACTGTTGCAACAACTACCACCGAGAGCAAGTAGATAATATATTTGTATCTGCCATCCTGCTATTATATGATTTAGTTCATGTAAACCCTAAACCCTAAACCCCAAACCCGAACACTCATGTTAATACTATATGATCTCTGCATTTTCTCCTATGTTGTTCCCCGCCTGGTCGTGATGGGCAGTCGGCAGCGACTCGTCCCAAGGTCGCTCAGGACGCCTTAGTGAGAGACGGAGAGGCATACGCAAAAAAGGAGGCAAAAATTGCAGAGGCAAAGCAGCTTCTTAGCGGTGTTCACGTTTCCGCGCTTGGAAGTCTTCACTTGTTTCTTCTCATACAAGGCTGTGGCTCTAAATAGGGGTATGTCGCGGTGTCCCGACCCCCGCCTGTGTTACATACGTATGTCGCGCCCACTTGTTTCATACGTATGTCGCGGGGTTTGTCGCGGCTGTTCCGCGTGCTGCGGTGGATGGACGAAATCTTGCACCGCCTGTACATTCGTACTTCAAACGATTGAGGCATCAAGCCCCGCACCCCCTGCTTAACATTGGCGGTTAGGACTACTTGAGCGGTGCAAGATTTCGACCATTGGAACAAATCCGGCTGCTAGCTTTTCACAGCCAATGGAAAAAAAGGGGGCACGGGGAACACCAAAAGACGTGTCTGAAAAGCGGTGCAAGATTTTGTCCATCCACAGTGTCTCAATTGTTGCGTAGTCGAAGGTTGCAGTTCCAAGAAGGGGCTTGTCGCAAAGGCTTGTCGCGGAGGCTTGTTACATACCTAGACTTTTGAGCCGGCTTTAGCGACATCACCGCACATTGTTACATCCAGCCACTACCTCAGCTCTTCAAGCTGAAGTAAAGCAACCTGCCGGATGTGCTAGTTTCCGGCCCCAAGTCGAAAAAACTAACCCACCAAGGCACCCGGCACTCAGCATTAAGCCCGGCAAATCTCTTTACATGCATTCTCGTCTCAACGTCGCTTCATGTCCGTTCGAAACTGGGCGGATGACTGCAACCCTCGATGAAATAGCCTTGGCTCTGCCTTCGATGTTGTTTGTGTGGGGTGGGGGGGGGGGGGGGGGGCATAGAGCGCGAAAGCGAAGGCCCACAAAATGCAAGTAATTCTCGACAAGCCAGCACCAGCCCAACGGTTAGGCCTACAGATCCTGTGGCCACTCGCACAAGTTGGGCTCTCTTTAATAATAGTAAGAATAATAATCACAAAAAAGTAGATAATGATGGTAATAATGAGAATAATCATTGAGAATGCTTAAACAATACTTAATAGTACTTAACAATACTTAATAATAAAATATATACTGCTAATAGTAAGAATGATAATGCTAATAATAATAATAATCAGGATAATCATAATAGTAATAATCATCATCATCATAATAACAAACATGGTGTTGCGAAACTCCTTCGTTCTTCACACCCACGCACATGCGCTCAACATTTGCACATACCATGCACTCAACACTTTCACATACCTTCAAGCGGCTGGCCCCCCAAAAATCCTAAGTAAGACCGAAACCCCTGAAACCCTAAACCCCTTGAAACCCGAAACCCTAAAACCCTAGCGGGGGGGGGGGGGGGGGGGTAGGGCCGGGGCCTGCCGGGGCGCAATCATCGCAGGTGCGGGTTGCGTGTCAGTCACCCCCCCCCCATTTATTCCCCGCACCCCCACCTCCAAACCCAAAACCCTCACGCAAACCCCCCACGCAAACCCTATACCCCATATTCGAAACTGTAAGGCCGTGAGCACCAACCCTCCTAAAACCCTAAACCCTGAACCCTGCTACACAAAAGACATCCTTAAAACCCTTAATGCGTGAACTTATACATTCGAAAGCAAACTCTTCGCAGTTCTAATAATAAAGGCGGTCTCAAGGCCTAGTTTCCTGGTTCATGAATCCAAGGTGTTACACGGTTATAGCTGGAGCACCGGATGTTGGGTCCCGAGGGTGGGTTCCTTGTCAAGAGAGTTCCTGACACATAGAAAGACTCATGATGGTACGGTTTGTAAGTCAGGATGGTACTTGCGGCTGGATAAGTGGTATTCCTATTCGAACAAGATGGTACCGCTCTTTGGGCCCCTCTTAATAGTAACAATCATAATAGTTATTGTTGATTATTATACGAACGAAGGCCAAGAATGCACGCTTCGTTGCTGCACGATTTTTCCCTAAGCCCTGAGCCTAAAACCACGAGCCATGGAAGATGGGCCCTAAACCAGAAGCCTAAACCCTAGCCCTAAAAACGCCCCACAGCGACACCACGGGCAAGGGGGTGGCGTAGCTCTAAAACCCTATAAATATAAAGCCTAAACCCTAACACCAAACCCAAAAATGCTAAGTCCTAAACCCTAAATGTTAATCCGCAGAACCCTAAGCCCAACCCCCATAACCAACGCCACAGAAGGGAAGGGGCAAGCCCACGCCCCGGAACCCTAAAACGGGGGGGGGAGGCGCCAGGGAGCACGTGAACAAATACAGTAAAAAGCGTCACGAAGCAAGCGCAGCTCCTCAACTCAGGACCGAACCACCGTGGCTTACGCATCGGTTGCCCATCCTGATTGTAACCTTGTGGCAGCCGATTGGGAGCTTTGTTTTAGCTCTACTAGTAGCATGCAATCCAGTCAGCGAGTATGCTTTCAGCAGACCCTCTTCTTGAACGGCGGCTTGGACAAACAGTGGCCTGATCTACGTGTAGCACGAATATCTGGTCCAACGCTTCGTTGGTGAGCTCTTTGTCCAGCAAAACATGCGGCCCTGCGGAGAATACTTTCACTGCCAACCTGATCTAACCTGATAAACCACATGCAAGCTGCAGTTTAGCATCCCACCTAGATCCGGCCCAACTATCTCACAAAATGCATTCATGTCAGATGTCAGGGCGGCTGCATGCAAGCAACAATCCGGGTCGGCTTTCGAGAAGAAGTCCAAGTCTGGCTCCTGAAGGGATGCGAGGCTTGTGGCAAATCTCATACACTTGCAGTCGCAGCGATTCCCGTTTCAATTCAACCTACTCAGGTAGCGAGAGTGTGTTTCAGCTGCGCAAGCCCTCGATGCATCTCGATGCTGTTCCGACGATTTCGGAGGTCATTCCGCCGTACATGATCGGAGTTCGCACCCGGTTCACATCTACTTTGCACTTGCAGCTCGCTGTGCAGCTCAGCGGCGGGAGTGGCCTGACCCTCTGGTGACGCGGCGACGTAGACTTGGTCGGGGGAGCGTTTGAAAAGGGTTTTACCATCGGTTTTGCTTGCAACCACATCTCAGGGCTTTAACTTCGATGTGCAGCTTGCAGAGGTTTGAGGTTCAGCCTACTGCCAAGGTGCCATTAGATGTTGACTCGAAGTTTGAACCAGTGTGTCACCTTGACCCACTTTCAACATCGTAGACCCCGACTGTAGTTCACATGTGTTCACATTGTAGGCTGACGCGCCATAACCGCAGCCAACCCTGCTACACTTCCGAACGCGACAGACATTCTCTGTGAGTTTGCTTCACCCCAGCTGGGGTGGATCTGAACGCGAGACCTCCCCCAGCCAGGACGTGCATGCGTGCAAGCGTGGGGGCATTGAGGTGCTTCTGCAGTCGGCACACAGCCCAGAAATCGCCCCCCCCATGCCACTGCCTGGAATAAGAAGAAGAAGAAGAAGAATGCCAAGGGGCCCTCCGGCATCGCCATGTCACTGGACCGGCGCCGCCTCCGTCGGAACTGCGGCATCAGCTCCGGCTCCTCCCAGTCTGGAGCTTCAAGCCTGTGATTCTGTAGCCTCTCGTTGGTCAATCATATGGATCGGCACTAGACTCATTAGACCAGGTCGGAACTTCGGAACGTGCCGAAGCGAATCGGACCGAAGAACGGCTAGTGAGCTCAAAGAGTGTCTCCACACATCTCAACCTTTAACGATCTGCAACCCTTTTCGGACTCTGACATGAGCGCTAGCAGGCAAGGCATGTGTGGGTCCTGCGATTCTGGAAGGCACGCTGGCTTCTCTGGTGAAGACGCTGCCTCTCAAAGGGAGGTTCTAGAGCTTCGAGTAAGGGGTGGGGTTGTGGATTTGCCACAGACGCCGCCGGTTTACCCACCTCCTCCTGTGGCGAGGCCGGCGAGTGAAGACCTTGCTCTGCTTCGACATCCAGTGCGGCCTCCGATGGCTTTGAGAGCCACGACTGAGAGGAGATGAGTGTTGGTCAGCCGCCTCTGTTTCTATCTGTGGGGTGGGAACACAGACGAGTTCAGCATACCATCCTCGTCTGAACCAGATCCTCCCAAGCACCAGCCCAGCCCTATCCCAGGTGCCAAAATCACGATTTCAAGCCAAAAGCACATGCCAACCTTGTTCTTCTGCAAGGCACGCCCATACAGAAGCTCCAGCTTGCCCTGGCACTGCACGATGCGTTTGACGCATGTGCGGCTTGTTGTTTCTAATTCATGGTTTAACTCACCTAGACTTTCTTCTGCACACTGCGTCCCAGTCGTGGACTTAGCGTGCAAGAGGCTTGGTGCTGAAGTATGAAAACAGCTTTGCAGCTGTTCTGCCAGACTTCCACAGCACTGTGCGCAAAAAACAGCCGCAGTTGTTCAGGTGGCGACCTTGCTGCTCTCGCGGACATCCTCCTCGGCGTGCTCAGGGACGTTGGTCCCGAACCTTAGCAAGGCACAGCAACACAAAGCAGTCACAAAAGAGCAAAAAAGTCCCAGATCTTGGGTCTTGCGCTTGAGGCTTCGGCTTGGAGTCTGTTTCGGCTCTTCTTTTTTACTCGGAGAGGAAGCAGCTCGGACAACCACTTCACACAAGCTGTGCGCTTAGGGCAGTACAATGGTTGAGTGATGCTTTGCAACTCGCTGCTTGGAGTGTCCCCGTGCACCGTATCACAAAGTATCACACCAACGTACTCGGTGGAGCATGCCCCTTGCGGCGACCCTTTCGGAAATTAAATGCGCTGCATGCAAAGCAGGCAAGAGGAAGAGAGAGAGAGAGAGATGCCTACACTTAACAGTACTGTGAGCATGCAAACATGAAACTATAGTTGAAAACACTTGCAAAGAATTGAAAATCCTGGACAGCCCCATGAACCCCATGTAAGGCCGCCACAAGTGAAGGAAGAACGCCATCGCGTCAGACTCGCGCAGACCCTGATCTGAGGTTTTGAGTTCTTTGGGAGGAGATGGTAAAACTCATTCAAGGTGCTTCGAGAATACCAACCGAGTTCAAGGGACTTTCAGGTGTAATTTATACTGCTGATACAAACCCACTCATTCGAAGATAGGCAGACGGGCTTCAAAGCTCATTCCACAATGTTCTGGGCGTGCAGCATCTAACTGGGGGGGGGGGGGGGAGGAAGGGGAGGGAGCAGCGTACGAGTCTTAAAAAGCTGAACTATCATACCAATTTTTGCCTCGGGGTTACTGTTGACCCGCACAAGAACGATCGTGAATTCCCAAGAAGCTAACTGTCACGACTCTCATCGAGCCCATCTTGCTTAACCGATGTACCACACCCGTTCTCCGGCCTGCGCAAGAAGGACAGCCTCTGCGTCACAGTAAAGGCTCACACCCGGGCTCTGAAATGCGTGGCTGTTGAGGTTGCTAAGGCATTTCAGCCCGTTTGGAATGGTCAGGGAGGCTCCTGGTATCAGGTGTCGATGGGCAAAATGTGAAGGATTGGGCTTGGTACACAGACCCGATGCCACCGCGCAACACGCTGCAACACGCTGCGCGTCGTGGCCTTCAAACTACTTAAATGAACTTTGAGCCAGCGAAGCAATGCAAATCAAGTGCGGCTGGTGCCAAGCTACAGGGGGATCTTTGTTCCAAGCGGCCATGGCTGGAACCCATCGCCTGCTCAAGACTCGGTTTGCGCTCCCAGGCCTCTTTCCGACATCTTTAGCACTCTCGTAGCGACTTGTAGCGACTAATTCTAAAGCACGCATGTCTGCAGATGGCCAAGTCCTCTTTTCAGCCCTCCACGCATGATGCCGGCGGCATTTGCACCGAAACTTGCTGAGCTTCTTGAAAGACTCATGCCATGCAAATTGCCGAGGGACTGACTAGCTGGCGTACCCTGGGAGGGTACGCAGAGGGGATACTTCGGCATGCTTGTCCTGCAACATGCCTCCTTGGCCCGACGGCCTATGACTGCATTCAGGCTGCCCGTGGAATGTAAAACTGGATTACAGGCTGCTGCGGGCTCCGGCGAAGGGCCTCTCACGATGTGAAAAGAGGTCTGGACAGGCTGTCTGGTATGTACATTTGGGAGACTGCCCCCAGAGATGGACCCAGGAAGGCCTAGTAGCCACCCTCCTCTTCCTCCTCTTCTCCCTGCGGTGTACGAGACGCAACATCACTGCAATCTGCACCATCGAACTGTGTGTTTCTGTTGCATCGTCGGCCAATTTGGGCTTTTTGCTACTGCACTCTAATTTTGTTCGACCGGCTGCTGGCTTGCAATTGGTATTGCAAGCCTGCAGTGCCGTTCTGGGGGGGATGATCCCATACCATACAGGACGCCCATCAGCCCCCCCCCCCAGCCGAACAAGAAGTATTCTGGAGTTTACTCGCGAAAGTGCCTGGCCGCTGACCAGGCTCTGTGCCGCATTCACCATCTTCTCGTAGCGGTCTTGCTTCACCAACTGATGCAGGGCTTGTTGTGGGACACAGCAACGCCGCAGTCTGGCTACAATTGTGTCAGTAGCCATCTTTGGCACAAAAAAACACATGCTAAACAGCTGCAACACGCTGTCATTCGGGGCTGCATGGTGTGTGCCTCTAACCCATGCGTGCCTCTTAACTCTTAACCATGCGAATATCGACCACCACATCACATGGTTCTCCGAGACAAATTGCTACCCTGCCACTCATGGCGAAACCATGCGAAACCGACGGTACACTGTACAGGGCCCTACCATCTTGCCTTTGGCCCACAATAACCATTTGACAAAAGATGCCTTGTTCTCCTCGAGCTTCTTAAGCTCCACCTCCCTCTTCATGATGTACCAGGCCAAGCCTGAATGCAAGCAGCGGAGCTGGTTTAGGGTGCAACTCTTCTGAGGCTTGTTCGCGACTGCGCCTACTATGCGGGCCCTGCACAAGAAGCTTTTACTTTGAATGCAGATCTGAGACCTCTGAGCCCCCCACTCTCCTGGTCCTGATGGATGACCTTTAAGGATCTCAGCTCCCTCTGGCCCAGCTCGAGCTTGACCTGCAAACCGGAAGAGAACGCTCCAAGATTCCCTAGGCTGCGCTGGGCCACTGGGCCACTGCCACCAACCTCATCAACTTCAACTCAGAAGGTTGGTGCACGTTGAGTGTGGGCAAACTTCGATGTTCTCAACGACCCACACACAAAGAGGGGAGGAGTGAAGGGCTACTGTACCAAAGTCGGAGGCTGAAAGCGAATCAAACCCTGAGCCGGGCATGTTGTGCCTTCTCGGCCGCCTTGCCCAACTCCAGCCCCTTCTCCTGGCCCGCATGGCTTCGATGCAGGCGTGCCCCAGTTTACAGGGCGACAACATCTTTCAACAAGATGGGCTGGTCAAGAGTCCGGCTGCTGGGGTTTCGCCCATGTGAGTCCGGATGAGCTTCTTGCAAGGCGAGCCCAAGCTCTCAAGGGAGAGAGGCGGAGAAAGGCTAATGCAGCTGGATCCCACTGCCGTTTGAGATTTCTCTGGGACATGGCTTCAAACTTTCAGACGGGCTCGCTAAAAAACCACAAAGCCAGACCAAGGCGCCGAAGCCCTCCGTGGCGGTCCTGGATTTGGCCTTCCGTGTCTTCCAAGATGCGGTCGATGTCGTACACCTCCTGGGAGGCTCTGCTTGGAAGCCTTTGGCCTTGCGGAGTCCTGCTGAGTCCTGCTACTGAGTGCTACTGTGCTTCGTAATACTCAAGGTCTTTGCGGGCTGCTTTGCTGTGGCATCAGGAGCCCGAGACCGAGGAGGGTTGGCCGACCGGCTGACTGGCCTTGTTGTGCTTTTCGCCTTGTTCTCGCAGCTTGCTCTTCTCCTGTCATTGAACGTTGACAAAACGACCTGCAAGACGGATCGCGGCATCTAATCACAGCCAAACCCAGGTTTCAATCCCTGACTGGCTGCCTCGATGAAACTGTAGATGTCCTGGGCAGTAATGATGGCCCACTTCTTGGTTTTCTCCGGCAGATACCTGAAGACCAGGCTGCGATGAATCTGTTCAAAAGCTTCAAGCACCCGCCCAAGTCGAACCTGGCTGTCATGTGCTCTTCGGGGCATTCCTTCCACTTTCAGCAGCTTCCTCCGTTTCTGTGCCGAGTTGCTGCCAGTGTTCTTCTTGAACCGTCTGCTCGGTAATGAAGCTTGAGTCCGGAGGCCTCGGCAACACATGAACACGCAGCTCTCCCGAAGGCTCTTACGACGCCTTCATATATCCGCTAGCTTGGGTCAACCCTCATACCGAAACTTCCGAAACCTATGGATACTTTCGTGCCAACGTATTCGTAATGCGGTCGATTCATGTCGGATCTAAGGAATCCCAAGTCGATCCTTGTCATCTGGCTGTAGAGGAGCCAAGTGCCCGGCGATTCCGTAGAAAGCAGGTCAGCGATGCCGCCTCAGCATGTCAAGCTCTACGTTCCAGTCAACTGATCCATGAAGCAAACTTCGTCCTCCAGGTAGGGATACTCCAACGTTCATGCTCTAAAGGGCTGTGCCCTAATCTCTCTTCACAACATCTTCCCCTTGTCGTTCCCAGTTTCTTGACAGCCAGAGTAAGTGCTGAGTGCGGCACCCCTCATCGGCGACCTTGGTGTTCTCGGAGATCGCGGAACACTCCTCGTGCAGTCACATGTAATGACGTGGGTTACAGCAGCTACGCACAATGCACAGCAATTGCAACGGCAATTGCATGCAACTACCGGATGCCGGACGGTGGTCACTTGAGGCTGCTCAGCGAGAGGCGTGAAGATTGCGCAGAAACCAATAACGAACAACATCAGAATAGAGAACCACACCGTCGTGGAGCCATGACAGCAGCAATCTGAGAACATGCCAAGACCACAAGGACGAGGAATGGTACCGCCCGCTCGCTTGACCCGGTGGACACTTCAGGACCCTTCTACACGCAGAATCCAAATGCTATCCTTTTCTGAGACCTGGCTGAGACCCGCACATGGAATCATCATCAAATCCTTTGCTGCGGAGATTGCAGCATCCATACAACATGTGGTGTGCCCAGGTTGTGCCTTCGGTCAGCTCCATACCGGTTTCGGCCGTGCTTTCGGCATCGTCCACCTTCGACTACGCTGCTCAGCTGTGCGTCATGGACCAGGTTCAACCGAATCCTAAAAGAAGGGTTCTTGTTGAGAGTGCCACGTGGTGTTTGTGCTTGGGGAACCTACGTAGGCTTTGGCGCCAATGGCCCGATGAACCGGGCATGTAGGGGCCATGATCCTCTTGGCTGGCCTCGTGTTTGGACCTGGGATCGTGCTCCCTCGTGACGCCCCTTATTGGCCTTCAAATCGTCACGTGACTTGGCTTTCGCCTTAGCTTGTGTGTGTCTCGTGACGCGTGGCTCGTGCCTCATGTGTGCCGCATGTCGAATCTTACGTCGCATCTCGTATCGTGTCCAAGGTCGGGTCTGGTGTTGTGTTTTGGTGTATTGCACATCGTGTCTCATGCCTGGCGTGTCTAGCAAGTGGCCTGCAGGATCCATTGTGTTCCGTTGATACTCCGTTGATGAGGTCCAGGTTGGCTCTCGCCTCGTAGTGGTCGGTCTTGTCCCGTCCAATCAGGCTTGCGACGCCAGACCTCACACACAGATCACCAAAAAATTGGTTGCGCTCAAGGCCCTTTTGATCTCCTTGCGTGCTCTAACTGGAGCCGAAGGCCACAAGGATCCATGATGCATCCATGATGCATGTGCTCTCTGACTAAAAGTCTGCCAAGGGCCGCACAAAGTTTCAAACCTAGTTGTTGCATCAGTTGCCGTAGCCAACCGATACCCCTTATGATAACCATGCCCTCCAAACGCCATGCATCGCCTGAGGCACGCACTTGCAGACTTGCACGCATTGCTTGAAGAAGCCTTGCCTTAAGCAAACCGTGGCTTTGAAAAAGAGTAAGCTGCATGAAGGCCGTGGCCATGTAACCGACACGACACTCCACGACTAACATGTGTGAGGTTACACCTGAACTGGTGACGGGTTCAAGCCATTCCATCACGACATGGAATACGCGATGTTCAACGGTGTTTGGGGTGATGGCAAACGTGCATGAGTGTGGTATTGCCGTGGTACAGCGAAAGCGCAAGTGATTGTTTGCCTGCAGGTCTTTCGGGGCTTGCAACGTTGCCATGTGGATCTAAAGCTTTTTTTCTATAATATGCAACCTGATAGATTCCGCGGTGGGAACCCTATAGTAACGTGGTATTTACAGAATCGTTGTCAGTTCTATTCAAAGAACAAGGCATGCATGATTCTTCTCGGGCTTGGGCTCTTTACTCCTGACTGCCTTTACTCTTACTTCGGAGTCCACACTTTGCGGCAGCATGATGAGCGAGCGGAATCTGGATTGCTACACGCGCCAGGAAAGGCACATAACTTTTTGTATCATACAAGGAAACAACATGTCCGCTTCAATTGCAGCGATAAGCCCCCATCCTGCGCCACCATACCATACACCAGTCGGCACGCGCTGTTCGTTCTCACGGAGTCGGCTGTAGTGCCCTGTAAAACTGAGACGGTCCCTCGACCCACTGGGGCCCAGGCTTCGCCTCTCCGCTGGCTGCCTGGGCCTCGACCTCCTGGGCAGTCGGAGGTGTAGCACACAGTGTAGCACGGTGTAGCATGGTGCAAGCATGCTAACTCGTGGTCTGGCTTTCCATGAGGGCTCTTCACGGCTCTCCTGCCGCATCTTGTCCTCCGTTTCCCGGTCCTGCGAAATTAAGCGCGTTCGGAGGGCGAAAGAAAGGCCAGTCTGTTGGTGGGCGACTGGTGGAGCACAGCTAGCGCGCCGGGGAGCGGGGGAGTTTCAGCGGAGGAAAGGACGCCTGAAATTCAGGAAGGCCATGAATTTGCAGCGGAGGGAGTTCTCCATGAACCCAAAAAGCATTTTGCCCTGTAGAACTTGCATTAACGATGTCAAGCAAATGCGTCCTCGACCTCAAAATGTTTGGCCTCGGCTTCGCCCAACTGACTGTGACATTCAGGTGAGACCAAAGTGCACAGATCTGTCTTCCATTGCCTGTGGCTGATGCACCATGCACATGTTTTGCATTCCAGCCGCAATGATTGCAAAGAACATGTTCACCAGAACGTACCTGATCATTCACGCTTGCCAGAAACTAAAGCCATCTTTCAAGTTGACAGCGGCCAACACGACTAGCAGACTTGCAGTTGTAGAGTGTTGGGAAGGACGCCAGCCTGGCCTGAACAGGACCATGTAGGTGTACCAATAGAAATAATACCTGGCGCGACATGCGAGCCGGATGCCCATACCAAAGGCCCCTCATCCCTGGCACTCCAGATGGCAACACCGGAAATACCAGTGATGTTGTGAACTGCACACATCATGATTGCATGCTAACGATGCCTCCTCCTCCTCCTCCTCCTCCTCCTCCTCCCCTTCATAGGCTACAGAATCTTTTGGTCGTGGCGCACGTACAGCAAGATAAAACAGAAATATCAGCGGATGGAGGTTGACAAAGCAGCAAAACATGGCCATGTAATCCCCATTCCAACTACGTCTGTCCGCGGCAAAGACTGACTCGTTGAGTCAAGGCAAAAACGGTACCCGTCACCATAGTCCACAGTGACTTGCATTGGAGCAGCACAAGGGCTAGCGTCAGAGCTGGGCTAGCTCGGGGCAGGAAGGATCGAAATCAAAAGATACCCCCAACGTGGCGGCGGGACGCAAAGCTGTTTGCTTGCCGCATAACCTCAAAGTTCCGGAAGGTTCCAAGGAACATCTGGAAGCCTCGGTCGAGGAGCTCAGGGTTCGCTAATCTCAGCCTTCTCGTAAGCTGGTCCACGGACATGCAGTTGGGGGCAGGAAAAGTCTTCGTTTACTCTGTTGTGGAGGCAAAAGCGAACTTGTATGTATGCGGCTAAGGCACAGGTGATGAGCGAGTGCTGAACCGTGGAAAAGTCTTGCATGATGGTTCCGAAGATCGTGTGGCCCATAGCCACCTTGGGTCCAGAGAAGCTGGCCATGTGAACTGTGAACCACTGAACAAAACATACAAAAAGACCAGACTTCTGCGCAGTGTGGTGCCACAGGCACAATCGTCAAGCGCTGGCCACGGATGTCCGCAGCGGAGTGTACAAGCTGAGAGGAGCATGGGCAAGTGCCCCAATTGAGCTTCGTGAGGGAGCGAGGGAGAGAGAACGTGAAGACATACCGGAATTCTAGACCTAGTACATGGTGCCTCCTGAGAAATGCAAGAGACCAGGTCATACTTGCACAGGTTTCGAACAGGTGTGACAAGGCACATAGCCCATGAGGAG